ACGTCGAGACTTTTGGCAGTACAACAGTCCAAACGCAACGCAACGCAACGCAGCGCAACAAAACGCGTTTCCTTTCATTTCATTTGACGGTGGCAGGAGCTACCAACCGGCAACCGGCGCAAATAAAACTAATAACAACGGCGTCCTTTCGATTTGCAGCAGCGCTCGTCATCATCAGCATTATTACAGTTTGATTTCACTACATTTGTATTTATTTTTCTTTTTATTTCTTTTATTCAGCCATTCATTTGGGTTTGCTTACGTGTATTGCCAAGCGGGGAGCTCTTTCCCCCTCCCCTTTACAGCTTCATTTTCCTTTTGTTTTAATAAATGACCTTCAGGGCGGTCGCTGCCATTACGGTCGAATCATTTAACGTCAACTGCCACACAGGGGCCAAACATTCGAGCATTGCGCTGTGTCATACCAAGGGTTGCATGCCGGCGGTGTGCAATTTCTTGTAAGCTCAAGTGAGCGCCGGTGTGAATTTTTTCGTGTTTTTCAGAGACCCTATTAGAAAAATGGCAGTCATTTACATATTTTCGCATGCTTTGCGGTCGGACGGTCGCTCCCCAAGGACTCCCCAAAGCGAGATTTGAAATTTCTAGCGAGTGAATTGATGTGCATAAAAAGCATTTCCAGCAGCTGTTCGACGAGATTTTAAGCAGTGCGCAATCGTTTTAGACGAATTTAGTTATTTAACTCCTGTCTGGTGAGTTTAAATCTCGTAAGCAAGTAACTTTAAACTTTACACTTTGTTAGGGCATTCTTTGGTCGTATTGGATTTTTTACCCTTCAAATTCATTAGCGTTGAGTAATCACAAATTTTTCTTAATTCCTGCAGCCATCAAGCTAATTAGGCAAAGCGCTGCCAGCAGTGTTGCATGAGGCAGTTAGTTGCTGCAGTGGCATCATACTATTGAGTCTGAGGCGATGACCCTATGGGGTAGGGGTTCAAAAATTTAGCTGCGGTAAGGGGTCGACATACGCCATCTCTCCGTCATCGACATCACGAGAAGGAGCTGCTTTCAAGCACCTATGTCTGAGTTTGGTATCCCCGCAAAGCTCGTACGGCTATATAAACTGACCTTAAGCAGCACTGAAAGCTCCGTCAGAATCGGAAAGGAGCTCTCCGAGCCGTTCGATACCAAACGAGAGCTTAGACAAGGTGATTCATTATCGTGTGACATCCTTAGTTCTTTTGGTGGAGAAATTAATATAAGCTGCAGAGCTGAATAGCGATGGTACCATCTTTTATAAGAGTGTACAGCTGCTGGCGTACGCCGATAATATTGACATTATTGGTGTCGTGAGTTCTGTTTTCTCTAAAATTGATAAAGAAGCGAAGCAAATGGGTCTGGTAGTGAATCAGGGCAAGACGAAATATCTCCTGTCATCAAACAAACAGTCGTCGCATTCGCGACTTGGCTCCCACGTCACTGTTGGCAGTCATAATTTTGAAGTCGTAGATAATTTCGTCTACCTAGGAACCAGCATCAACACCAATAATAATGTCAGCCTTGAAATCCAGCGCAGAATCAGTCTTGCCAACAATTGCTACTTTGAACTTAGAACACAATGAAAAGATTTAGTCCTCTCTCGGCAAACGAAAAACAGACTCTACAAGTATGATGAGCGACCAGTCCTACTTTACAGCGCAGAAGCGTGGATGATGTCAACATCTGATGACTCGGCCCTACATGGCGAATATCACAGATGATGGAACGATGAGCTGTGCGAGCTATATGATGATATTGACATAGGTCAGCGACTGCAGAGACAGCGGCTACGCTGGCTAGGTCATGTCGTCCGAATTGATGAAAGCACTTCAGTTTTGAAAGTACTCGATGCAGTATCTACTGGTGAAAGCAGAGAAAGAGGTAGGTCTCTACTCCGTTGGAAGGATCAGGTGGAGAGTGACCTGACTTCATTTGGTATTCTAGCGCCAAACAGCGAAAAGAAGAAATGGATGGCGCGTTAATAAAGAAGAAATGCGACTACATTTCAAAATTTTCCGCGAAAGTTAGGTCTTTATACCGGTAAGACCTGGATTTTATCCGGTTAAGGCCAGTCACTTCCGCGGTATTCCCGAAAAAGTGCTTTGGGGAATCTTTTTGCGGCTACAACAATAACGGCAATAATAATAACAACATAGTCTGAAGTGAGCGAACAAAAGATCAGAAACAGCAGACTTTTTTTTGCTAAGCAAGCTTACTAAGCTCCTCGATTCTTAAACATCAACCACTCAATGCCGTCAAGATAAATCTACATTCCAGTTTACATTGAGTCCATTTCGATAATAAATGCCGCCATTGAGTCCAATATATGTACATATATATTTATATAATTCCTTAATTCCGTCTAGAAGAGAAAACGCTTTAAAACGAAAGTGCAAAAATACGCAAGACAATGATTTGTGTTACTCAAGGCTCAACATAAAAAAGCAATATTTACACGTTCGCAATAAAATAAGAGTGGCATAAATTGTTTTTGCACAATAACCTAAAATAATGCAGAAGACTGTGCCGAACATCATAACCCTCACCCTCTCTCTGCCCACACACAGCACTTAGCGCTGGTGCTACTCCCTTTTCATTATTTACTTTCAGCTTTTTTTTTTCATTCATCCGACCAACACCAACACGTCCCGCACTCGCTGCGGACCAATGGCAATGTGGGTTAAAGACTAATTTCGATTACACTCCTCCTGGGGCAATGACAGACGTGTCTGTGGCTTTGGTGGCATCTGCAGCCGGGACTGCATTTCATTGACTTTTCGGTTGTTGGAAATTAAAAAGGCGTAGCCAAATTGAACATTTAATTTGACCGTCGTATTGACATTTCATTTTTAACAAGACGCCGCGTGAAGAAGGCATGGTTTGATCATTTTCCGCTCCAAATATTCGGCGTGTGCTTTTTTATTACTTTTCGCTTTTCTGCTGTTTTTTTCTTACCTATAAGACATACACACCAATAAAGAAATTTAATTCTTCAGCCGGCGCGTTCTTTTCTCCAGTTTTCAGTTAGATGTGACATTGACATTATGCTTGCCAGTTTGTGCGTGTGCATTAACAAACGTCTCCACTGCCTACTCGGACCACAACAACCGCAGCCTACTTTACATTATTGCAGGTGTAATATCTTTTCGCCATAAAAAGGTGCCAAGTGCCTGAAAATAAGTATCGCATTGAAAATGAAAGTTTGCTTGCTGTGTTTTCTAGCGAAAAATTGGCCATTTATACATTTATTAATAAACCAAGAGGCGACAAATCGCAACACGTGCAACTGAAGTTCAGCACTTAGGCCTTTTCCGTTGACTGGAGGAGGCAGCAGACTTTTCCGAGTGCTTATGGCGGGCATATTAAAGTAGAGAAACTCGAATTTTAGTTGAGAATGTCAGTTATACAACTCGAACGCTCTGGTGCTAAAGCGAATTCCGCTCTTGATGTTTCAATCTGCCATTTCTCCGTTAGCCTACGTATGCTCGTTGACTTTTCAATAGTCATTCTCGTAAATACTTGAGTTTAAATATTTTTTTTTTTCACATAATGTGTAGGAAAAGAGTTAAAAAGATTTTTAGCGCTTGAACATTGAGTGCGCAGCGAGTGTACGACCTTTGGCTTAACAACGAAATACCAGCAACAACGCGAAAAGTAATGCGCGTAAGTCGATTTAATGAAGCCTGTAATTGCATGGCGCTACTTTCATGCACTGCCGCTGCTACTACGCCTAGTTGCCATGCTTTTCACAAGTTTCTGTTTCACAAGGTTTTCTTTTTGTCATACAACATTTGCCATCATAAAATATGCCCTCTTTCGTGTTTTTATAGCTCGCATAAATGTCAAGTCGATTACGGCAACGTACATATGTACGTATGAACGCAAGCGCTATAAAAAAGAATCAATCTGCTTTGGAAGATTGGTTGCCTGCTAATGTACGTAAGCGCTGATTTTGAGGATGACAAGTCTCCGAAAGCGTCGTTAGTACATGAACTCCTATCAGCTTACCTCCGTCATGGGTATACACCTGATATTTTGGTTGGGCACAATGCACGTAGAAAAACATATCAAATTTTCTGCTGGGTTTAAGAATATAATACACTCGCATGTGCATAAATATATGTATATTTGTACGTTTGTACGCCCACTTGTAGTATGCCAACATTTCTGCACATCAAAAGTTTTACGATTTACACAGACAAATAAAGCAAAAAAAAAAAAGAGAACATGAAAACAAAGTCAGGGAAAGGGTTACTCAACGGTTACAGCTGAGGAAGAAAGAGTCACAGAAATTTTCAAATGAATTGGAAAATTACAAATGAATAGGTGTAGGTTACATTAGGTTCGCATGGAAACGCCTATAATGCACCTTTAAGCCAGGACTCCCTTTTATTAGTCTCCCAATGTGTATTTCCAAATAATCCCCATTTCATAGAACAATTCTACGTCAGCAATATTGTCACCGCAGTTACATATAATACACGTATATAAGAATATGACTTGGTAAGAGTGAAAGTGTTGATTGGCTGCATTGGGAGTAAACTTGAGCCATGATGTGGGAAGGAGACACAAAAGTGAATATGTCATTTACGTCTATTGAATAAATAAAATTAAGCACGATTAGTTGAGTCAATGGGGTCTTTTTTGTTGTTTAGTCTACTATTTGCTAGGTGTCAGCTAGAAAAATGGCAGAGATTATACCGTAAAAGCTGACCGTAAGCAGCCTTGCATAACCATTGCTCAAAAGAACAGAGAAAAAGTTAATAGAAAATACGGAAATAGCCAAGACAGGATAGATTCTTTTAAAAAATACCATGGTTCCTGCTAGTCGTGCGTTTACCCTTTTTCAAACCGTGCTGGGCGCCGTCTGTCTTTGAATTTATATTTTTGTTGGTTCGTGTCATAGACAAGATTTACGGCACCACACTCGGTGAAAGTGGTGTCAAAATTGCGTGACACTAGCTAAACAAAATAAACACAGCCACAAACAGTTGTCAAAAGCATGTGCAGAAGACCGCTCAAAGCCAAAAAAAAAACAATCTGATAACAACTCATGCGTGATTGGTGACCTTTTTTATTCGTATAACAGATCAAGTGCAATTAATTTTAAATAGCTAACTATCTGATTCCGATAGATAATATTCTTGGTTGTACTGCATTTAACGCCAGCACATGACAAGGGCGACAGTTAAACGTTTAGCGCAAGTAATTGACTGTCATTGGAATCTCAATAGACTCACAAACAATACTTTTACATCTGTATCGAAAACAAACTCTCGGTCCTCCTATACCGGCAAATTGAATATGTCGCTTAACGAAGCTAAACGCATTGCGGCTCATCGCGCTGTTGACGAATGGGTTAAGACAAACACAACCGTTGGTATAGGTAGCGGCTCAACAGTAGTGTTTGCTGTGGAGAGACTCGCTGAACGTGTACGTAAAGAAGGTTTAAAAATAATATGTGTACCCACTAGTTTCCAAGCACGTCAGTTAATTGTGGAGAATGATTTAACTCTTGGCGATTTGGATCGCAATCCTAAACTAGCTGTGGCTATCGATGGCGCAGACGAGGTCGACCGCAATATGGTGCTTATCAAAGGTGGTGGTGGCTGTTTATTGCAGGAGAAAATTGTAGCATCTTGTGCTGAGAAAATGGTGGTTATAGCAGATTACACAAAAAATTCAGAATATTTGGGTGAGCAGTACAGGAAGGGTATACCTATTGAAGTGGTACCGATGGCATATGTACCGATAAAAGAGCGTATTGCGGCAAGGTTTGGTGGCGAGCTGAAACTACGGATGGCTGTAGCCAAAGCTGGGCCGTGTGTAACAGATAACGGTAACTTTATATTAGACTGGCACTTTAAAGAAAGTTGTGATTGTGATTGGGCAAAGGTTAACGGCGAATTACTCCAAATCCCCGGCGTGGTTGAAACAGGTTTATTTGTGAATATGGCGACTAAAGCTTACTTCGGCATGGCTGATGGCAGCGTAAAAACACAGGAAAAATAAACTTTATTATTTAGCATAAGGGAAAATTTATATACTCAGGCGCACCTTTTCGGATTTACACTATTTATATGTATGTAGTTTTAAAGTTACATGTTATTAATCTCAAAAACATATTGTTAATTTGAAATTTTCTATTGGTTTTTAATGTAAATAAATATTGTATTTAATTCAATTAACAGGATTTTTCAAAAAAAAAGTTACATTGGTAACAGTCTACTTTATTCCAGAGTTTACTTACAGTAGAAATTTACGATTTCTATTTTTGCTTTTCCGAATCAATAGGGCTTCTTCTTTTGAGTGGGTAATAAACTATCTTTAGCATAACTAAAAAGTGAAAGTAAGCCCTGCTTCTTTCCACGATTGAAATAATTTGTTACTACATCTTGACCTATAATTGAATTAAGAACTTTCAATAGCTTTTTTACCAACAATATTATAAATTAAGCACATACCCGCACTGTCATTAATTGTAGTCGGCAGAACATTATCGTTTGCGTTAAGCGACACAAAAAGAGAAATGGGCACCATCCATAGACATATCGTAAAATATGCCAAAACCTAAAACAACGAAAATTGTACATATTTAAACAATGACGAAAAATATTCACAATCTATGCTCACCTGCATAAATGGATAGTAGAAACTTGTAAAAAACTGGAAAGCCAATATATGATTAATTACCAGGAACACTACTGCCCCTACAAAAGGGAATGACAAAAGCCGTATAAATGGGAAATTGCTCATAATTATCGCGTGAAATATTTGTGCTGCAAACCCGCACAATATCATTTTCCAAGGCAAATTATCAAAAAATATAAACATTATATACACGAATACCGTCGCGCTAATCATCATTCTGATTAATTTGCTGGCTGCTTGAGTGTATTCTTCCACTATCTCAGCCATGTAGTACAGACCCGCCGCTATGAAGAGAAACCAAATATTGTGGATTTATATCGACCAAAATGCAAATTTACATACCTATTGAGATTAAGACGAAAACGATATGTATTAGCAATGAGACCCAACTTAATATATACAAGAAGGACATTTTTGTGTTTTCTTTTTTCCCACTATGTATTGTCTCTTATGTTCTATACAATACAAATTTTTCAAGAAATTGAAATTTCATTTGTTTATTAAGAAAACAAAGCTAAAATGAAACGTCAGCGAACGCTGATTGGATCTTTACAAATCAGCTGTTTCTGTCATTCTCAAGCACTAATTTTTGTTTACCAAGCACGAAAGGCTTTCTAGGCCGGAAGCTTAAAGTGCAGTTAGACACATTGCTTTCTTTTTGCATGCCATTGAGAAACATGTTTAATATCACGAAAATATATATTTTTTTTTTGAAACTCCTTACATATGAAGTTATATCAGAAAAATATTTCATAAATCTTCTCTAAAAACACTCAAATCTCTTTATAGCAATATCAAGAGAATTCAAAATTGCCAGTCATTACAGGCAATTGGAAAATTGGTTTCATAAGATAAATGAACTGAAATTTTCATTTTCGCAATTATATGATAACTCGATATACAAATTTTTTTGACATCATAATGCGTTAAAGTTCTGAATATTAGCTTAAAAGCGCTGCAAACAAATTTTTGAAAAACTTCGAAATTTACGTAATTTAAAGGCTAAAAACATTTTCATTCAATTCGCAATAATTTATTAAAACTTTCAATAAGCTGAGTAAATGTAAATTTAATTTTGGGATGGAATTACAGATATGTACACGTATATTAATTCAATCATACGCTGCAATTTTACAAATTAATTAAAAATGAAAACTTCCAATTGGTTAAATCATTCAATCCATTTTACATCCGGCAACATGGCAGATTTGTTAGTTGACAGCGGCGAAAAAAACGCGTGCATTTTCTTTCATCCAATTTCCGTAAAATTATTTTTATGTGAAACATACATATTTGATTATTGTTTAATATTTTTTTATTTATTTCTAATAATAAGTGCAGTTTTAACGAAAACATTTGTTTATTAACGAAATTTAAAAATAATCTGGTGAATTAAAATATATATTTAACCTTGAATTCTATTGAATACCAATTTCACAAAAAATTGAAAGGGGTGACTGTCGACAACAACAGCGATTGGTACACGCGAATAGTAAAAGAAAGGAAAATTTCCGTTCCTTGCTCAAGAGTGTGGAATCGTTTTGTAAGGTTAGGATAAAATTTGTGTAAAAAAATAAAACAACAAATTGGCATTAAATGCCGCCCTACAACGTAGAGCCGGTTGGCCCTCAACAAAGCGATGCAGATATGCACGATGACGAAGACAATCAAGCTACGGGATCTACTGCGGAATTGCCGACGTTTCATTCAGAATCGACATCGGAAAATGACCTGGTGAACGGAAATATTGAACTGAATAATGCAGACATGCAACAAGCGCAACCTGACACTAGTGGTTCGACAGATATAGAAATGAATATTAGTGAGGAAGCTGGTAGTGTGTATGAGCAGCAACCACATTCAGGAACAAATGGGTTAGCTGAGATGAACACAAGTGGGGAACCGAGCAGTGTGGATGAGCATCAATCATCGTTAGAAAGAAATGCGGAACCAGATGCAGAGATGAATGATGCGGAAGAAAGTAGGTCTAGTGCTGCTGAAAATGCAAATGACGACGCTGAGGAAGACGGCGATGGTGAAAATGAAGAGGCGGAAGCTGGTGCTGCAGGTGAAGCAGATCCTTTTTATGGGTTTGAAGATGAAGACCCAAGTCTCGATAAAAAAGATATGTCGCAAGTGCTACAAATTTGGGAAGCGCAGCAGCAACGTGCTGGATTCGATCCAGTGCCAATATTGAAAAGGTAAATGATTGCGCACATATATTTATATATGTATGTATACATATGTATGTAAATGCGAGCATAGCTTTTCGTTTGCCTATAAACTTATGTATACGCGAACAGGTTTTCTTTTCTTGTTTGTAAAAGTAATGGTGATCGACATCGCTGAGGGGTGGACGCTATTTGCTTGTTTAATTGCTCTTTTAGAGTTTTGTATTTAATGTTTTATTTGTTATCATTAATTGACAATTATGACGAAATTAGTTATTGACCATAACAAACCTACTTTTATAATTGCGTAATACTCATTTTATAAACATAACATATAACAATGTATATATATATGTATATCAGCAATTTAGAGTGATAAAATTTAATGTACTAATATAATTTTTGAATTTACTGAGAAATACTTTTACCTAAAATCAAATAAATTTTAACAAATTCTTTAAGGTTATGTGAAATCTTCGAGAAAGAAAAGGAAATTTATATGCGCAAAGACCACGACCCTTTCGAAGATCGCCATCCTTATCGAATCGATCCCAAATGTCATTATGGTGTAATACTAAAGCAACTTTTTCGAAAAGATGTTTTTATGACTAAGGTAAAATATGCATTAAGTTGGGTTTTGAAATCAAGTACTCATTACACATTTTTTAATTTTAGCTCCTGGGCGAATATATGCGCGATAATTTCTTCACCCGTCAAAGTATACAAAAAAGCTCCTTGGAGTTAAATATTTTGGCTTGTCGCCTAATGTTGGTAATTGCACCTGGCTTAGAAACCGCAGCGGTGTTCCAAGGTGAATTCGAAAATGTTCTCCACAGAATTTTTAACTGGGCAGAGGATAGTATTGAACCATTACAAAGTTATGCCACCGGTCTATTGGCCTCCGCTATGGAAGTGCCTGACATTGTAACCTCTTACAAGGAACATAACTGCCGCCTCATACCAAAGTTAATAAAGCGTTTGACTATATTTCAAGAAATTTCCACGCTTAAGAGCCAGCCTAGTCCGCAACCAAATCGATTTGATTGTTGGACGACTGATTTTGCATTTGGATTATTTTCTGATCAACGGTCTGAAATGCAACGAAAAATTGATCGTGTGATGTTTCCTTTTCCGCACGAAGAAGAGAAACAGTCTGAAGCTTTGATTACACTGCCACTAAAAGAAGAAACGGCAAAAGCAACCCCTTCATTTGAAACATCACCAATAGGGGAATACGCAACAAATTTTATGTCAACGTCATTTAAAGACGAGCAACTTAAACCATCCACATCTCAAAATTCTAAAAATGGTTTGGATACAAACTGCTCTAATTCGAACTTATCTGCATTGCTAGAGAACAGCCGTGATGCTTTCCCTAAAGGAAGGGATTCACGTTATTACAAAAAATTGTATATTCCTTACTATCCGCCCACAACTGAATCTGCCCAAATGCTTATTTTACGGTACCTTACAGCGCTCGGGAGTCATCAAGATTATTTGAGTTTTGTTTTTGAACAACGTGTTATGGACCTCATCTTCCGTTATTTAGAAAATTTAGACCGACAGGACACCTGCTTGGCTTTTGAAGCGCTCAAATATCTTGCTTCCATATTAAGTCACAAGAAAATTACAATAGATTTCATTTCAAAGGGTGGATTAGAGGTGAGTAAAGAATGCACACATAAAGAGCTTGTAAAAAAACTACCTAGAAATATTTTTATACTTCAGATTCTGCTGAAAGTACCACGTCCCAGCATAGCCGCTACAGGCGTTTCCATTGCATTGTACTACCTGGCCTATTGTGAAGAAGCTATGGAGCGGGTCAGTAGTATGCCAAAAGCTGTTATCAAGGATTTAGTCAATTACGTGCTCTGGCTACTAGAACGATCATACGATTCCGCTGTATGTCATGCAACCATGTTTTTTGGTTTGACTTTTCAATACAAAGTAATCCTTGATGAATTTGACGCACAGGATGGTATTCGTAAGCTTTACAATGTTGTAAGTATATAATATTTTGTATCTAAAGTATTATTTATTATACGAAGGTTGTACTTTTAGGTTTCCATACTTAAAATCTTAAACCCATCAAATAATGATGATGAAGATGAGGAAGTCTTGAATGATGATTTGGAATGTGCTTCCCGTCAACTAGTGCGTCATGTATGCGTTGCACTTAAACGATATATGGAGAGTCACCTCTACTTCAAATATAATAACTTCATGCGTCAACAATGCTCACTCAGCTCGGAATTCTCTCAGCATGTTGCCACCAAAGCGGCGAAAGCGAGTTTGGAACAGGTTAGTGAACAAGTGCGCATATTGCAGGAGAATACTTCGGTACGTGCACATTGGATGCCGGTGAACAAACTAATGGAAGTGAGCGCTATCACATTGCTACTGAAAATTGTAGCGCTCTCCTACGATTGGAACAACAATGTTAGGTAAATTGAGTTAAAGTATTGTATTTTCTGCCCTTCATGATCATTATGGGTAGGGGGTTGTGGTGGGAAGAAGTTAGATATTAACAAATTTGGCATACAGCTGCTGCTGGAGGCATATTTTGGAATCTAAAGGGGGGCAATTTAAAACCAATAGAATGGTCAGGCGAATTATGTATGTTTTTTGGCTGAAAAATAGATAAGACCTTTCAAAATTATGTATTCGATAGTGTCGTTGCCTGTGGGAGGGTTGTGATCAACATTCCGCACACAGCGTTTACTCCCCAACCCAAATTCATTTAGGTCCCATTCCATTATTCGATATAATCGAGCGCAGTTCATTTACTTTTATTTTCACTCTTTTTTTTTAATATTTGATTTTTAGATCCGAGATCGTGCGGTCCGCTTTGGATGTACTATCTGTATGTTGTGTTATACCGCGCATCTTTCAAGTCTATTGCGACCGTTTGGAAGTTCCGGATAGTGCAGGCGCTTCAGGAATCTACTTCATATTGGCTGCCGCTTCTGGTGACATCACTGCGGATGCTGATGTACAAAAATCGGCATTGGCTGTGCTGGTACACTGCGTCTGCGCACCGCTGACACGGGTAATATTGTCTAAGTAGAACACATTTTATCTTATAACTATTAATTATCATTTTAAAGGAGTCAAATAATGTCATGAAGGTGTTCGGTTCTTCGAGACGCAACAAAATGAATAATCGTTATTGTGAGGAATTAGTAGAGAAGGTGTGGGAGTCAGTTTGTTCCAACAATGGCATAATTATACTGCTCTCCTTGATGCAGATCAAGGCGCCAATCACCGATGCAGATTGTATACGTGGTATGGCCTGTCGCGCCTTAGCCGGCCTTGCGCGTTCAGAACGCGTACGACAAATCGTTGGAAAATTAGCGTTGTTTTCTAACGGACAAATTCAAACGCTGATGCGTGATCCGATCTTGCAGGAAAAACGTGCCGAGCACGTGCTATTCCAAAAGTACGCCATGGAGTTGCTGGAACGTGTTTCGGGCAAAACAAAACCGATTTCCAATCAAATGGACTCTTCACTTGCTAACATACACAAAGCCAATGTTGTGGCACAAACCAAAATACAATATAACGAGCAACAATTATATCAACTAATTCACGATCATTTGGAGTCGAAAGGTCTGATGCAAACGGCACAAATGTTGCAAAAAGAAGCTGGCTTGCCACAAATGTCGGCAAACACCACGAAAAACTTCCACCAATCGCCATTCGACTACAAAGTGCTTCCTTCGTCCTCTGTACGCCAGCGTTTGCGTAGTCGCATGCAAGATGTGAACAATGCGATACAGAATCTTGCGAATACAACCACAACCGACCTGAATTCAAGCTTATCCTTCGACGAGCTTCCGAGCAGTAGCAGCACCAGCGCAATAACACCCATTAAATTGGTGAAAAAGTCGGAGAAAATCTCAACTTCCGGAAATGCTTTAGCCATTGGTAGCGCGAATGCGCAACGTTCCCTGCAAAAACAAATATCTTCACTGCCAGAGGACGTGCGGTCGGAGCGTGATTCGCCTGCGCCGCAGCTGAACAACCAGACGGGCATCACACTGGGTACCATAGTTACGGAGTATCTGACCAATCAGCATGCCTTGTGTAACAACCCCATGACCACATGTCCACAATTCGATTTGTTCACGCCGCATAAGTGTCCCGATCCTAAACCGAATCGGGTGGGAGATAATTTGAATTTGACAGCGCGCGTTTTCAGAGCGCAAGCAGGTTTCAATACAGCGCGCTTGGATCGACGTTACGTGCATTCGAATTTTGCGCCTTGGCGATCGGTGCGCTCCAGTGACTTTACTTCTCTGCAGTTCGCCACCTGTGAAATAGTGTCGCCCTCCAAAATCTTGCTCGTCGGTACAAATCGCGGCGAAGTGAAGGCATTCAATTTAAACTCTGGTACCGAAGTCTTCACCGCTAACTGTCACAGTTATGTGGTCGATGCTATCAATGCGAATCGCGCAGGTGATCTTGTGCTGACGTCATGCACTTGGCGTGCACCCTTGAGTGTTCTGTGGTCGATTACAGAAAATCAGTTTGTTACGAAAATGAGCTTTGCCGATGATTACTATTGTGAGTTCAATAATTTGACGCAAGACAAAGTGCTTGGCACACGAAATGAAGTAAGTCCATAAATTCGCAATATTTTTTTTATGTATTATTTGAATATATGAATGCATATATATATATATTTTATATATATATCTTTAATATTTGCTTTTAGTGCGCCGTTACGTATGACATAAATACCGGCAAGGAGATCTGCACATTTGTGCCAACACTTGGTAATCAGTACGTAAAGAATCGTGCCACTTTTGGCCCCACCGACGAACTCATATTGTCAGGTGAGTTGTTTGTCCAAAATTCCATCTATTTTTACACGATAGGACTGTCGTACGTTTAAACGGTGGGGGACACAGGGCATACGATGTTTTCGAAATTGTCATCGGCCGAATGTAAGGGCATAAGCATAACACTCCATTTAAGCGTTATCGCACTTGAGACCTGTTTTTCTTCTGAAAGGTGATGCAAACTGTTTCGATTTAGCGACAGTGAAAGACACTCCATCAACTGCTCTCAATCATAGACGTACTGAGAGTCCAAGCTACATCCGGTGTCCATACCGATTACTTACACAACTAATTTTCCAGACTAGGCCCCGTGAAACCCATCGTAACAATCGCCTTAAGATTTAAAAAAGAAAAATAAAATCACTTACAGCTTCCCAATCACTCTCGTTTGAACACTCAGCCTTAGCTGTTCCATTTTTCAATTAAATATTAAATATTAATTCTCCTACTTTCAGACGGTGTCCTCTGGGATGTGCGCTCCGGCAAGGAAATACACAAGTTCGACAAACTCAATCAAAGTCTCTCCGGTGTTTTCCATCCAAACGGCTTGGAGGTATTTAGCTGATTTTCTTCCTCTTCTTCTTCTTCGTCTTCCTATTTGGTTTTATTGGTTGTTTTATTAAAATTGTAGATAATTTCGAACACCGAAGTCTGGGATCTACGAACGTTCCATCTCCTGCAAACGGTGCCCGTACTCGACCAATGTTTCCTCAAGTTTTCACCAATGCGTGTCATATACAGCTACAACGCGGAGGCGCCGGATGAGCGGGCGGACAACATAATGGACGATTTGCCTACGACAGATACGAGCTTTAAGGTGCTTGACGCCTACGATTATTCCTCAATATCGACGATAGATGTGCGGCGTGGCATATACGACATGAGCATCAACGATAATGGCAGTCTGTTGGCGTTGGTGGAGAATCAGCCAGCGTACGACACGCGGCCAGAGACGTTTGTGAAAATCTATGCTGTGGGCATGAAGAAGATCGAGAACCAAGATGAGGTGCGTCATGGCGACACGTCTGGCATTGGCGTTAGCGTTGGCACCGATGCCAGCAACAGCGCCGACCGTGCTGCGGCGCGTGCGAACGCTAACGCCTTTGACGACGATGTCAATATTTTCGAAAATATTGAAATCGATGTTGAAGTCGATCGCAATGATCGCGTTGATGGTGCCGGTGTGGGAGGTGTAGACGATGGTGCTGGTGGTGATGATGCCGACATCGGTGGCGGAGTAGGTGACGAGGTTGATAATCTTGCCCTGCGCCTTGGCATCGGCTCCGGCCGAGGCCGTGTTCGTGGCCGCAACCCGAACGACGACGATGATAACAATGACATCGACACCGGCAACAACCGTCGCGATCGCGATCTCATACGTCGTTTTCGCCGCATCCGTGATATAATCGACATCGACGCAAGTCGGCGACACAACGGCGGCAGCGGCAGCGGTGGTGGTGGTGAAGAAATCATCGTGAGCTTTCGCAGCTCAGCGTTGCCCGCAGCCGCCAGTGGCAATGGCGGCGTCGGTGTAATGATCGGTCGCGGTAGCCATGGTCATGCTGCGCCACGCCCCAGTGCCGCTGGCGGCACACACAGCGCGCGAATTGCACCAGCTGCGGCGATTAATGCGCTACGCACTAATCGTAACAACCGGCCAGTTGTAGGCCGTGCAAATGGCACCGGTGGCAACCTAGCGGTTAACGGTAACGCTGTGCGTGACCACCTAGGCGCTGGAGTGGGCGTAGCAGCACAAGACCTAATTGATGCGATAATGAATAATTGGTTATCTCTGCTTTCAGGAAGATGATGATGACATTGAGTCAAGTATACCTTCGGATAGCGATTCATCAGAGCGTGAGTTTCATACATCATACATGGGCCATTCGTGTTGAGTTCTTACTATCCTCACTCTCTCTCTCTCTCTTTTCTTTAACAGTATTTGATCTGACCGAAGGTCTTGCAGAAGCGCGCCGCGATAATAGAAGAAGAAGGGCCAATCTTCGCGCTAACGGCGGTATTGAGGACGTGGAGAGCGGTGATGGTAGCGACGATAGTGATGACGAAGACGGCGATAGTGAGGACGGTTGGATAGATGTAAACTCGACTAACGATGAAGACGATGACAATGAGCAGGCGCAAGCCGATTCATCCTCGTCCGATGATGAAATCATGGAAATACGTTTTGAGCCTTTCTAAAAATTGTCTCTACACTTTGCCAAACATTACTTTTGGTGTTAAATACAAATAAGAATGCACGCGAAGAAACCAGCCGAGGCGAAAGCCTGCCGTTCGGGCGCTCTTCCCTACCACGTTAAGTTTAAAACGAAAAGTTAAGCAGTTATAATGTAATTTCGTTGTGAAACAATAAATAGTTCTCTTTTTTTTATATAAACACAACGCAAAACCGAAAGACAAAACTTGTTCGAAAACAAAGCAAAACACAATTTTTGTTTATCCATTTTGTAGTCGTAAGTTTTCATTTTAAATGCCGTTTATAGTATAGTTAGTCTCATCAAAACAAGGAAAAGTATACAAATGAAGAAAGACTCGAAAACGGAGGAAAAGAGGGAGAACAGCAAACAGTTTAAGCTCTAAATAGAATTCTAGCTGCGAATTCATTTTCGAAGATTTGCCAAACTTATTTGCCGCGGTGCGGAATTGGAACTCCAATTTGTTTATTTACAAATCTCTGCTTTCCAACTAAGAGCCATGTTGAAAAGAAATCTTTTGCACTTTATTGTTTCTTGTTTTTATTAAAAAAGAAATTTCTATTCGTTGTCTGAGCATGCTGTTTCATGGCGTTTCCTTCTTCGAGTTTTTCATTCACACCTAGAATATTTAATTATCTTACACATACACACATACATTCATAAATATGATATGTTATACTTAATTGTTTGTTTCAAAACATAAATTATTATTATACATATATATTTATAAGGCGCGCATCAATAATATTTCAATGTAATTCTAATTGTAATGCGAATGCGCGCCGGTTAATTACTGCATTTCTTTTTGTAAGAATTCTGAAACAAAATATATAAGAAAAATAAAAAAGAATATCGAAATAAAATTATATATTGTATGTACATAAAATGAAATCATCTGCTTTTTTACTGTTGCCGTTGTTCGGGCAGGAACTCTTTCTCTGAGCACGTGGATAGCGCCACTGAGCGTTGTTGTTGTTATTTATGGGAAGCAGCTAAGCTGGGTATGTCATAATTTGACTTTTACATCAGTTTTGGGACAGCTGCCAAACGGTTTTCAAACCTGCATTCCTGCTCCCAGAGAGTACTCCTTACGACATGACTTCCATCGGTAGGGTGTGAATTCGGGAGAAGATGCGGCTGTTTATTACAAGGGTACAAAGGAGATATTGCTTTTGTTGTAGTCGCGGTTTTACAACCACGCTTAGGAACAGGGTAGTTAGTCTGAGTCATCGAGGTCTTCTAATGGGATGCTACTTAACTCCTAGCATAGATGCTTCACTGTGCAGGTGATGCTCTGGCCACATCAGAAAGTTTCATGAGGACGTTGTATTGGTAGGCTTGTAGCTTATTCAACTGCGTCTCATTTGTCCCCGGTGCCCAGATCGGTGCATCATAGTTTACGACTGATCGGCCAATGACTTTGTACGTCGTCAACAAAGTTTCTTTATCTTTTCCCCAGGTGTTGCCGGCTACCGCTTTGAGGATTTTTTTTGCGGCGCTCGAGTTTACGTATGCGTAATGAAGAATTGCAGGCTGACGAATGGGACTCCTGGAAACTTTGGGTTGGTTATAGACGGGATTTTGACGCCATTGACTGACTCTTTTCGTCCATTGGATTACAAAGATGATGAATATCCCTAAAGCTGTGGTATACACGTTTCGTAGCCAATTAGGACAATGTTTTAAGTAATAAATAAACATATAATGAACCACAAAAAGGCGGCAATCGACAGTCTGTACGCGGAGCTATTCTAAAATGACGATGAGGAACTGATGCACCACTTACACTTGAATACCATTGATACCTGCCGACAAAACAACCCCACTTTTCCCTTTGATTCGAACCTGCCAAAAGAGTTTCCTGGATCTCTCGTAAAATGATCCCGACGAGGAAAGTTCAAGAGACGAGAGATACGTGAACAGCGTTGGGAAATGCAAGTCTTTTGTTTGGCTTTCTGTCCAAATTTGACATTTAAAAGCTGGACGAAAATGCTTCAAATCTTTGTGTAAAAAAATTAGTTTTTATTTCGGAAACAGATTATAACGTTGTGGAATAAAAATAATACATACATGTTGGGATCATTTAAATAAATTTTTTAACATTTTGGTTTTTTTTGCAGTTTATTTCATTTTTTATTTTTATTAGTCTCCTTACATACATACATACTTATGTATTTCCAATCAAATATTTAAAGACTTAGATAAAAATAATTTTTTGCTTCTAATTTTTTCATTTTAATTAAAATAAGAAAAAAAAATTTTTTTTAATCGTTTCAAGTATTTCTACATTTATTATAATACTTTAAATCTTTAGTTTTTTAAATTAAAATAAATGTTATTAATTAACGTATTTACAATTTAATATTTTAATTATTGTACTTAAATCAATATGAAACTCGAGCTCACAACTACATAAATACATATACGTGTGACTAACATAGCTTTATTTATAACACACATACAAATATATTTTTAGATATTAAATTATTTTAACATACATATATATATATTTTAACATTATACTAAATTAAAACAATTACTTTTTACAGTCGATTTAAATTAAATTTCAACAAGCGCCAGTTCCAGCTTCGCATTTTATACGCCCATAGATTTGGCTTTTTGTAACCTTAAAGAGAGAGAAGGATGGAAAATTAGTAAACGATATGTTATGCAATACCTAAGGGAAAATAGCTATATACATATGTACATATGTATAAAAAAGATAGTCAATAATTATTGTACTCTCTAACATTTTATTAGCAATTAATTTTAGTTAAACGGGTTTTTATTAATTTTTGAAATTTATTCGGTAGCTTTTTGATTGTTTTCAGTATAATTTTTCTTAATTTTGAAATTTATTCTGTTTTTTATTTTTGTTTTGCTTAACAAATTTTTTTTAAATTCTTGGAAATTTATTATGAATTTTTTAGTGCCCTTATTCTGGTTAAACACCTTTTGGAAATTTTCGAAAGTTTTTTTGAGTATTTTTAGTTAATAAATTTTTTTTTTTTGGTAATTTTGACATTTATTGCGTAGCTTTTTGAAGTTTTTTGAGTATTTTAGTTACTGCATTTTTTAAATTATTCTTATTTATTTATGTTTGATCGAACTTTTTTTTTGAATGCTTTTTAATTTAATTATTTTTTCTGCAAACTTACTTTCTTCTTAACACCTTCAGCACAATAGCACCCTCACGCACATCCTTAAAAAGCCGTATAGTTTCAGCATGGCTCATGCCTTGCACAGAAGTGCCATTGATCTCGACGATTTCGTCACCTGCGAATTATGCATACATACACGTACATATATTTAACATTATATATTTTAATATACAATTTTATTTTTACGACATTAAATCTGCATAAAACTCACCCGCTTGCAGTGTGCCATCATCGGCCGCTTGTCCCGAGGGGAAAACAGTCTTTACGAAAATACCCATATTACCTTTTGGCGAGTCACGTCCACCAACAATGCTAAAACCCAGCGATTTCATGCCATGACCCTTGAAAAATGTTATCGTCTTCTGTGTCGAACGACTGGAGTCTGCGGAAATTTAAAATTTTTTGAACAATCAAATATTAAGGAATTAAAGAGAATTAAAAAAAAAATCGTATAAGAAACTAAAACAACGCTCATTTGATTCTTGTGAGTATTAGAGACCTTACAATTTTATTTATTTTACATGATTATACGCCTGATTGTAGGCAACGTACTTGAGTATTGCTTTTTTTCATTTATCGGTAGGAATATTTAATTATGTTTGCTTCTTCAACACTCGCGAAGTAGAAATCACAGCCTACATTTGGGCGCCATATCACAATAATAATAAAAAAATTGATGTGCAGTTTGTGCACAAGTGTAAGTGTTTGATTTTTCGTTCAAACTGTCGTATTTTTTAGTTTCTGCAAATATTGCAAGTATTATTCTTTTCAATTAAGATTCAGTTTTAAATTTTGTAACACCATTGTTGAGTTAAAAATTATTTAATGATCAGTAGCAAGCAATTTTTTAGTATGTTTTATTCCAAAAAAAAAACGGCAAATAATAAATTTTGAATTTTTAAAACCGGAAAATGCGCAAAAATTGTTTAAATACCAAAATATGTAGAATTAATATATTTCAATTCAATAAAATTAATAAAGTAGTATAATTATTTATAAGAGTTTCGACAAAAAAATTGAAGGCTCCGGAGGTAATTGATTATGACAGGGTTGCCAAACTAAGGATACTTAAGGAAGCTTGGTATTGAAAGATTTGAGAAGGGTGGCACTCCCTCAATTCTTCCTTTAAATTATTGAAAATAAAAGATATTGCCATTTATTCCAATGTACAATGTTTTTTTTTTACTAAATTTTCCAACTCCCCCTCTCGCTTAAAATTCACCAAAGGCCCCGCTCCACTCACCATCGTTCATCGAAGCGCGTATGACTTCGGCCATTTCTTCGTCGCGTATGGTTAATCTCGCCGTGGGCAATGAAGGGCGATGATATTGTAATGAATTTGTTGGTGTTCCTGTGTCACTTATTGTTGTTGTTAATGAACTACCCGAAGCGGTTAGTGCTGTTGACATAGAAGATGAAGGTACGGTTAAATGTTGTTGTTGTTGTTGCAGTGGCTGATATAAATGTGAAGGCGTTGCATGGTGTCGCTGATTGTGGTGATGGTGCTGGTGTAATTGCTGTTGTTGATGTTGTGGTTGGCTTAAGTTTTGGTGTTGTTTTTGTTGTTGTTGAGAAATGAGATGATAAGGATTAGCATTTATATTAGTGTTATTAGTGAGATCAGACGCCGTTTGTGGTTCTTGTTGCTGTTGCTGCTGTTGCGGGTGCTGTGATTGCCTCCGCTGCCTGTGCGCATCATCGTCGGTGGTGTTCACACTTTGAGTTGCTGTTGGGGTTGTTCTCTCGCTGACGGCGCTATTCGTCGCCGCCACCGGCGTTGTTTTTGTCTGTGTTTTAGTATTATTTGTACTATTAGTGGCATTTAAGTTTTGGTAATTACAGTTACTGTTATTTGTTGTTTTTAGTCTACCACCATCAGTCGCGCCACTTGACTGCGGCTGTATGAATAAGCTCAAGCGCGACGAGCTTAGACGCGAATGTGCAAAACGTAGCGAACGATAATGTGAGTTGGACAGGTTGATGGAGTTGCGCGTGTAGTGCGTGCGCGATGGAAATGACTGCGCCGGCAGCTGTTGTGCCTGCGCGGCACCCGCGCCATCGACAGTGTCTGAGAATGAACTCGGAGCCGTTGGCGTCGGGATTCCAAAAGGCAACGACGCACTACGATTACCCGCGGCGCGTCCACTACAATCTGCCAACAACTCGGCCTGTGGCTGCTGTTGGGCCTGCGTTTGCTGCTGCTGAGCACGTAGCAGCGTTGCGCCCTCAGAACAGCGTTTGCGCGCCAACAGCTGCCACTTTTCATCGTCGCTGATTGTGTGCGTTGCCAACGATATGCTAGACGCGCGATTCGTATACACAGGCGTGTACTCGGTGTTCGCGGTATACAACGGCGTCAGTTCGAGGTTGCGTTGACCGGAGGAAGAACGCGCGCGCCGTCTTATATGTTCGCCTTCAAACTCACCTCCATTACCCGTTGAGTCCGTGGAATGACGCGGTGTGGAACAGCGCCGATGTTGCATTAGAGGCATAGGCGTTGGCATCGAACTGAGCGAATGCATTGTCGTCACACTGGCCAATGAGCGCGTATCGTCGTCCACATCCAGCTCATTTGCAGCGGAACCCATTATTTCTGATGACGGTTTACGTATTTGACGAGTATCCTCATTTTCTAGTGCCAACTGCAGGCTCTGTAAGTCATAGTTGATACTGTCCGTGCTCTGTGTGCGCTGTGTGTAGCTAAGTCGTTTGCGCGCGCGTGCTAAATACTCACTTTGTGGATTGGCTGTGGGTGGCGCCGATGCTGGTGCGGGCTCATTGCCGCCATGCAAGGAGAGCATAGAATTGTAGGTTTGCGCCGAGCTGCCGTCGATTTTTATCTTTGTATAGAAATCAGTGACTGTAGCGATTTCGTCGTGCGCGATTACCAAGTCGATGGAGTTATTTACAAATGTCGAGAGCAGACGCTGGACGTCGGTAAAGGACTGCATACCCCGCAAATGCTTACCGTTAACATTGACAATTTCGTCACCGATGCGCAGGCGGCCATCTCTGTGAAGGAAATATTAATAATAAATAATGATGATACAAACCAAGTTATCTTAAGTTATAAGCCCACCCTCCATCTGTTACTTACTTCTGTGCCATGCCATATGGATCCATTTCGACTATCAGGTAACGATATTGCTGTTCATTTGTTGACATCATTACAGTTTTCGGCGATAAAACCAAGCCAATGCAGTCCTCCTGACACTTTCGCTCCAGCTTGATCTGTCGAAACCGTCGTCGAATAGTCTCTGTCTCGTAATCATAGTTGTAGCCACCAAGCGAAACGGATCCGCTTGTTGTGCTACATATACTACTGCTTCGTATACCACCACATCCTACACCACTCTCCGAGGAGGTGAGCGAAATCAGCGAGTTCCTCTTCAACGTACCCGATGCAATAGATTCCGTATCTCCGCCGGAGATACCAAGATTATTGCCCAGCAGTTGTGTGTTATTGGTATTCACAGGGAAAATAACACTGCCACATACACTTCCATCGCTTTCACCGCTACCGATATTGACACAGCCAACACCAGTTCCTACACCTCCACCGCCACTGCCCCCACCGCCTCCGTCACTGTCGTAACCCGACTCGTTCGAACTAAGACAACTACTTAATCTTTGGTAAAGTGGTTCCCAGTCCTTGGAGGAGAGGCTGTTATTGCGCGATATTATCAACTCACCGTTAATGCACACCCCATTGTAGGCGGTCGCACCAACAGCGCCCACATTCAGCTGCTGTGGTGAACAATTGCTTATTGCACTGTCATCCGAGGAGTAGCGCTTGATCAGTACGCCATTCCGATAAATCACCTTCTTTTGGTGATTTGGAGAAGTGCTGGACAGCGATAACGAGTCCAAAGCGCTATCGGCCATCGCCGCTGCAGTTTCACTGGGCAACATTGTTGTGGAATTGCGATGTTGTGACACCGGTGAATGCTGCTGACCCACCTGCAGGTATTGCGACACCGGATGTTGCAACTCAAGCAAACCGCCACTTGCGTCTATGGTGTGTAAACTCGAGAGCGAGGGTTGCTTCATTACCGAGCCGCCATTCTCTTCGGGTAACACTGAGAGACGTGAACGCAGAAAAGCATATGGGAAGGCGCCGCGTCGATTTGTTGACTCTTGACTCGGCTGACTCGCTGTGTTCTGTGTTTGACCGCCTAATGTTGGTACGTCGCCATTAGGCGATTGGCTTGCGCCTACCTTAGCGATATCATCACAACTACTCGACTTCAGATTAGCGGCAGCATTCGCGGCGCTCTTTTGCAGCTTACCCTGACGGTTGTTGGCCAAATTCAGACCTTCCGTTGGATCGTCACATTTAATGTACGACGAGCTCGTGAGCTGACTAGTAGAACTGCTGCGGTACAAATTGCTGCCAGTCGTGCCACTCGGCTCCGCGGCTTTTATAAGATTGTGTGACTTGTGATTGAGCATGCCAGTGGAACCAATGCGGTGGAAAAAGTTTTTGATCGCTTTCTGCGAGCGTTGCTGGGCATTAGGTGGTGTGCTCTGTTGGGCGCTACTGCCGTGCGTGCTGCCCTCCTTGGCTTTATCTTGTTTCTGTAGGTTTTTACATTGCGGCACCTCGCCATTTTGTGCCTGTTGTTTCTGTTGTGTGCTTGCCTGATCCTTTTGATCCTTCTGTTGTTGTTGCTGTTGCTGTTGCTGATTTTTCTGTTGCTGCTGCTTGATCGTCTCGATGGGTCCAGATTTGCATTTTTTCAATGTGTGTGTCTGATAATTGTCTTTCGCATTGGCATTGTTGTTATTGTTGTGAGTCGTGGTTTGGAAGAGTGAACGCAGATCCGTATGGGACTTGTGTGTGTTGGTGGTGTCGCTCCTTTTCAATATATCCAACTTGCGACTCATGCGTTTGCCCCAGGTGAAGACTGAAATGAGAGAAGAGAGAGTTTAGTGAGAGGAAGCTGGTAATCAAAAGCGATAATTCCCTTTGGTAAGATAAAGTTATTGCGATATTTAGGTATTTTTTGCCTGAACAAATTGGATTTGTTAGAAAGAAACATCTTCAAAATCATGCTCGATGTTCTTATTCCGCTATAGATGAGAGCAAGTATTAAACCGCCTACCACCTAGTACAACCACAAATTCAATATTCTCTCTTCATGCTACAATCCTCACTAATTTTATATCTGACAGCAAATCTAATTCTCAATGACTACAACAGCGATTAGCCGCTGGTTAAATGTTGAACAGCTTCTGCAAGTGCGACACAACACGCCGCCATCGCTGCTGTACTCAGAGAAGTGAAGGTACAGGAAGCGTTAAAATACAAGAAACTATAAAATGTTCCGACAACAATTTGAATATTCAAATCTCCATGCAGCGTCGGTAGAAGGTCGATTGCTTTGTTTTGAACATTCATTGGTCGCGTGGGCTGTAGTAGGACCATCAATTATGTTACAGCGACAAGCAGCGCAACGTCGACGAACACAAGAACTTACGCTGGTAAATGAAACAATGTAAAAACATTAATATAAACTATAAAAACGGGGAGGGGGAACAACTACAGTATCAACTCAGGACTATAGACATAAGCTTTGTACATGTCCGAGGTAACCTGGTTGGTTAGTTGGTTGTCTGGTTGGTTGGTTGATTAAACGCCCGCCTGCGCACCCACTTAGAAATGTTTAATATCGACGCTCGCTTTGAGGTTACAAAAGCAAAAGACTGTGCAACCTGGCGAAATCTAAATCAAATGAAGTAGTTATGGCAAAGTGGATACTATTGAAGAAAGAAAAGCTGTCTCAGCTGTGATGATGCACTGTGGAGCAGAAAACTGAAAATGTTGAAGATGACACAAATAAGGCTGATATAGGCTGATATTCTGCTTCCTTTAGCACATATCGAACTGTTTATCCTCTTTACGGTGCATCTCATCAACGGAGACTTTTCTATCTAGCAGACTCTTTATTATGGGCTGAAGGTCAGCCCACTGTTAATCAAATAATAATACGTCTTATATTTTATTTAAATCGTGCACCACTGTGCGCCATTGGAATTCACGCCACACGCTTTTTTTTCTGCCCCGCAAAAATGCAAAGCCATCAAATACCGTTCAACGTTCACCAAACCAAATTGCCGATTATGTTGCATGCGCGCTACAATGGCTTTGAGACACAGCTGCGAGCAGTTAGAATACAGTATCAAATGGAGTTTGCTCACATTCCATATTTTTTGCTTATTTTTTTTTTTTTTTTTTTTTTTTTTTTTTGCACTTTTTACAGTCAACAAATTGTTATTGTGTTAATAATGATCCACATACTGATGGCGGCCGAGTTATATGTATGTAGTTAACGTCGATATTGATAGACGAGATCGAGAGCACACTTCAACTGGCACTCCGTTTCATAAGCATAAACGAGTGCACACATACTTTGTTGGTAAATATATGGACGATATCAAGCGTTGAGCCGCCTGAAGGCTTCAAAAATATTGGCTTAGTAGAAGCCGCAACAATGCGGGGCTGAATGTCTCGTCTGCTTGTCAGCCGGCCTGTGCCATGCCGCTGGTGGTTAGTGATCAACGCTTCGTCCTGTCGCCCTCATTTAAGCCGTTAAGCCGCCAACACAATCTCAACAGCGCTTGTACATAAACACATTCCTGTTCGACCGTTGGCTGGCTATTAGTTGTTGTTGGTATTACTTTGTGCTCTTCATCAGATCAAAGTCATTTGTTGCTGCCAATTTCATTTGCATACCGATGCCAATACATAGCTGTACACTTATGCATTTGACGCCTCGCCGCAACGCATCCTTTGCGGTTACTTGGGCGGCTTCTTACAAGGCACCTCAAGTACCTCTCATTCTCATTCATCGCCTGCCCGCCGTTAAGGCTTAGCTCGACTACAAGACTTCTAGCCTCGCGCCGCACATAACACCCGCCACTCCTACAGCTCGAGCGCACCAACTTTCCTTTGACCGCATCCGCAGCACGTGTCCGCTTTGATTACTTTTGCCATTGGCGCACATTTAGCATTAGTTGGCTATTATTACTATTACAGGTATATACATATATAGCATTTATATTTATTATGTATTGTTATTATTATTGTTGTCATCGTCAGAATTGTCTGTTGGCTTCTAATTTAATATTGATTGCTGTTGATGGTGAATGGAACGAATTGAGTTTTAGTTGTTTTCTAGTTAATGTGTTGTAGTTGTTGCCGTTGTTATTTGAAGTATTGCCATTATATTTGCGTTGAATGTGTTGCAATGGCGTCAGCTTGGCGTTGCATTCCTACTACTCAATCCACCACATCGCGTTCGGGCTTAATCATTGAAGTGGAAGTGTTATTGTGGATATTATGTATGTATGTATGTATGTATATTGGAAGATTCGTCAGCATCGCTTTATTATTCTTGTAATTTTATATTACAACAATTGTAGTTGAATTATAAAATGAAAAAAACTAAAATAAATAAAAAATAAAAAAAGGTTTACAGTTATTAATGTCAAAGTATTTCACTACCGTTGTTGGCGTTGAAATGTGAAAAATCGACAATTTATGATTAGGCCCCTTAACGGTATTGATTGCAGTGCAATAAAGAACGTAGTTTACTAGCTTTCAACACGAAAAACATTGAGGGTTGGCGATTTGGGTAAAAAACTTTATAAATCGGTTCGTTATCATCAAACTAAGATAGTCGGTTAAGCTTATCAGTAAGATCGAGACCATAAGCACTATCAATTCTTCTTACTCAGTTTTGAGAAATATTCATCCACATTCTGAAAAGCGGGATGCACGGGATCACAAAGTTCGAGTGACCTTTATGAGTAACTAGTCCCTACTCAATAACTCCCACCTCCACTTCTATGTGGGCTCTTACCAATATACCGCGGTGCTCACCAGAAATCATTTTCCTTGCATGGACATCTGCCATGCAGAAATGTCCTATGTTGATTGTGGTGGTGTAGATAGATGAATAGGAGTTATATATGGGATAGTAAGAGATTGTGCACTGGAAGAGAGTGATGATGTGGGGTCAATCGAAGAAGCTCCCTATTAAATTACGAACAGAACTTCAAACAGAGTGGCTCCGAAATAAGACGGCATGTGGATAGTTGAATACAAAATGGTCACTCCTTGAGAGTTTCGTAATGAGGCACAGACATTTGAAATTCCTAAACACATCGCTAAGTTTTGAAAACACTGTTACCAACCAACCAACCAAATATTCCAAAGAGTCATATTTCCGCAACCATTAGCTGCGTGTTTTAGCCTTTTGATATAACCATTATAATAAATTTCAAAATAACACTCATTCGCATAAGTTTAACACAGAATTTTGAAGCAAACTTCAACTTTAACTCGTTAACCGTAATATTTATTAGCATGCGATAAACCCACACGAAAGTAAACAGGCAAACAAGCGAACAAATGATAACAAACGCCAAGCAGGTTAAGAGCGAAATGCTTTTTACACCAATAATCATACACCGAATGCGAAAAAGTGAAGTCCAACAAACAAAAAAATTAATTTTCGCTTGCAATAAAATGTTAAAAGCCAACGCTTAGCGACCGGGCGAGGCGCGTGCCATAAAGTATTACAGTCCATATCACATTTCAAAAACATACTTATTTATTTATGCATATGTATGCCAATATCTAAGCGCATTGTGGCCTATAAAATTTGGAAATATACTATTTTTGTGGCGAAAAATGAAAAGTTGCCTATTAAAAAAGAATCGTTAAAAAAAATAAACTTCTTCATTCCACATCCGCCACCGACTGCATGTGGAAGCGTAGAGCGTAAGCTAAAAAAGAAATCTTGATGTTAAAATATTCTCGGATTATTTGTTAACCTTTAGAGAGCGCAGAGAAGGAAACGTATATCATAATTTTAGTTTTGACAAAAAAATAGGTTTGACACGCAACACATTCGATCGTAATTTTCCAATTTCATTTGCTTTTCATGTAAGAATTTAATATTTCCCCGTAGGTGTTGGGGCTTGATGCAGTTAGTAAAGGTACACATAAATGTATATATTTTATATAGCATTATTTTATATGTGCAAAAGTGTGTATATATACATAGAGGATATTGAATGAAAATAGATTATTCTAGCAACAAAATCTTAAATAAATAAAAGTAAAAAAATTTTATTATACTGGCATTTCTCAGAAAAAAATAATAGTGATTGGACAACCCTTATTTATACGAAAAAGGAAGAAACTGAACAAACTTGGTCGATTAATTGATTTTTGCAGCTTCATGCAACCCTGTCTTAAACATGTAAGCTGCTGCCTTGAAATGCGAATTTCGAAATTTTTTCAAAATTTTAAGGTTTGTACAAGTAAATAAAAAAAAAATAAATTACCTATTGTTTTGAAATTTAGTAAATAGTTAAAAAGCACAAAAAATAATATGACTAAATTAGAGAAGAATGCATTTCAGACTTGAAGCAAAAGGTGGTCGCAGAAATCTATCAGAAGGTACTCAGCAAAAAATCGTTTTTTAAACTAGTTCTAGTTTTTCATCATTATTTTTAAGATTTTTTTTTTAATTTTAATTTTAACAAATTATATCCCACCTTTTCTTATAATTTTTTTATTTTTTCTCTGCAAGTAAGTAAGTTTAGCAGTCTTACGCTTCGAAAGCAACCCCGCATCCGTTTCCACAGGCACCGCATCATTATCAATATCCGTTATCATAGCTGTGTCGATTTCTTTAGTCGCCAACAAAATTTCGCTCTTTGCGATTTTTCGCTGTTTTTGCGACGCGGCGGAAGGTTGTTTGCTGCCAACCTTGACCTTCGCACACAGACAGGGTGCTACGAGTTTAAGTTTTGAAAGCATTTTCATTTCACTGTTTTTGTTGTTGGGCTCTTAAGACTGTTAATTATTTTGATAAAGCTCTCATTTACAATTTGAAAGTTTAACTCAAACATTTTTTCAATATATTTTTTTTTCTTAACTTTTTACACAGCTTTTGGTGTGTCTGCGTTGTTTAAGCGTACGCGTACAACTGACGTGCCTGCAGACGATGGAAGTGGCAAAAGGCCAATGTGGTGGGTGATTTTGAATTTCAATTTTTGTCTTTTTTTTCACTAAAACTATGCAAAAATGAACTAAAATGAGGAAAAAAACACGCCAAGAAAAATATATTAATCAAAAAAAAATAAAATTTAAAAAAATCACGATAAACTGGTTGCTTGATAAATGTTGCATGCGTGCATTGTATGCAAAATTATTGTTTTGGTTTCTTGACATTTTATTTCTTAAGTTTGTGTACGTATGTAGTGCGCTGACGCTGACGCTGTTGATTTTGATTTCCATTTAATTTGACTTAATTTGGAGTATTCGCAGACGTTTAGCTTGAAGCCACTTGCATATATGTATGTAAATAAGAATATGCACATACATATTCGCATATGTGCATACTTGTAAAATGTCTATTTCGTGTAAATTTTCTTAATTTCCTGTTGAATTTCGGTGTTTTGTGGCGAAGCTTCTGAATTCAATATCAGTTAATTGAATATGAAAAACTAGAGAAATATTAAAATAAATACATATAAATATGTATATATATATTTTTTTAATTGGTGATGTGAAATTTTGCGAGCATTTGTGCTTGTGAAAAACAAATTCCCAAAGGAAATGTAAAATATGCGACAATGGCCTTAAATTAAGAAAGTGAATGTTGATTGGTCCTAACCCTGTCGGGCTTGCGTGCCGCACACTATTGTTTATTTCATTTATTTATACAATATATTTTTTGATTTTTATAATTTATTATTTTTTGTTGCAATTGTTTGTTGGTTGTTTTAATTTTTATATTTCTAATATTTTTCTTCCAAGTTCAATACACTCACGTGCCACTATCATATACAATTGTTATTTTTATATATATTTTTCAAATATTGTTTTCTTGTTTTATTTGTTTCTTCATATCACTTAACAAAAGTTATGCTAAGCTTGAGCATATTTAGCCGCAGGGTGCTGTCAAATATTTCAAAATCTTTTGTTGCCTGTTTTGAATTGTATGCTTTTTGGCTACCGTACGGTTATTATATAATTTACTATTAAAATTACAAGCTTATGATGTGTAAATAATTCCGGCGAATAAATGTGTTGTAGTCTATGAGTTGGATATATAATATATCAAAACGAATATGGTTTTTGGCCAAAGCTTCTCCTCCATTTTTTTAGTAAGTGCCTTCACAGTTTTTCCAACGAATGGACTCATACAGGTTGGCGTTCTAGGCGGCGGTGCGTCCACGTATGGAAAAAAGTTGTATAATTTTAGGAAATCCATCAAAATGAAGTATCTAGCATATAGCCCTACGAATAGCAGCTTAACAGTACTTTTAAGTATTCTATGATTTCAAACTGTTCGGTATTAAATATCCCAAATTTCTTGGTTATGAGCCGAGAAATTTTAGCAGAAACGAATTTCGGCGTAGAATTAGTAATAGCAACCCGCTACAAGAATTGTGTTTTATCATGTCGCACGGGACCGCTGATTCGGCTAAAAACTACATTTATATAAAATTGCTTTATTTTCTTTAGAAATTCACAAATTTATTTCAACCATTTTTTTTTAATTTATTTAAAATCTTTGGCTAGTCATAAGTGTCTAATTTGGTATTTATTGCAGTTTATTATTCAGTATATCAATGTCAAGATAAATATTTGCATGAAGTTAGTGATCTTGTGAATTGGTTAAATAAATCTTTCAATCGAGTTCCTCATTTGCATATTGAATTGCTTGTGCTGATACGGAATTAAGTCATACTCGAAAGCGTGCTTAGCCAATTTTTAATTTTATGTGATTAAAAGGATTCGAATTCATGAAAAATAAATATATTGATAAAAATTATCGGCGGAGAGATCTCAAATGAAAATTTAGCTACAAAATTTCAAAGTTATTTTACTTATGTTTTTCTGTGCTTGATTGTTTAGTCTTTTCTACATATTCTTTTTAAATAAATACAAAATTTTTGGCATAAATCAAGTATTATTTTAATCCAAAAAATCTTCAGCTACTTTCTCGCCATTTTGTGGCTTGAAAATATATTTTATTGCATTGCAAAAAAAAAGCGAAAGAAATTGCCAAGTAAATATAACAGTCTTTATTTAAATGCACTGTATATTATTATGCTTTTTATTGTTATTGTTGTAATGATTTCTTTGTCTGCAGATTTCTACAGTTGATTGGCAAGAAAATTAAGGCAATTTGCAGTTAATAAAAGCATACTTGTACGTTCATACATACATTCATACTTACACACATATAATATAATGCATAAGGAAAGCAGAAGCATAAGTACAATCAAAGTAAAGGCATCAAGTTAATCATAAGAGAGAGAAAACTCCAAATTCAAAGAATAAAAATAATCACATTTTATTTTATTTACTGTTTTTTTTTTTTTAACTGAATGTGTGTTAACAGTACAAAGCGCCTGACAGTCCCCTCAGTATAAGAACTGGGATAAGCAAGTGATGTGAGGACTGAAGTTAAAATAAGGTTTGAAAATATTTCGAAACTATTTTTTCAGTACAATAAATATAAATACTATGTTTTGCTATAATTTGATAGGCATAAGCAATAAAGTAAAAATATTCAGAGACTAGAGCCTTAAGCGATTTTTTTTAAATTTATTAAATTTCAAATTTTTTCAATTGACAGCATTCAGAAAACTTGCACAATTAATATTATTTTTAAGATTTAAATTTAATTTTTTTTAATAAAATATTGAAAATTTTTAAAGGTACAGCGAGCTGAGGTTATCGACTTAATATATATTTTTTTAAAACTGATCTTTTAATTTCCTGTAAAAACACTGTACGAATGTAAATATAATTTGAATATCATCAGTAGCGTAGTACCGAAAGTGGTTTCGCATCACTAGTCACAATACCAAATGTTGCTGATGTGAGTATACATATAGTTTATATGTCGAGCTGATTTGCATTTCATATATTTATTTGTATTGGAAAAGGAAATTGTAACAAAGCAATAAATGCAAAATATAATCTTCGTATGAGTACGTGTTTGTAGAAACAAAAAAATAAAATAAATATGTGAAATAAGTGTACTTTGTATGGTGGTGAAGAAGAAGAAGAAACAACCAGAAGTCCAATTTTCTTATTTTATGTGCAAAAATTCAATTTTCGGCGTTTTTGGCATATTTAAGATTATAAACATCCGTTCCATGCAGATTGTTGCACTCGTATGTGAAAATTACCGTAAATTGCTAATATTATATATATTTCTCATACAATTTATATAAATAATGCTTGCTAAGGTTTATAAAAATATTTCAGCATTAAAAATACGACTGTTTACTTCAAATATTAAAGTTTCACAAAATCTATAACTCGCGCATCTGACTATAAAAGAGTGAAAAAAAAACTTTAAAACTGTTTTTATTCTTCATTGTTCATATTTACCATTTCTTGTGGCACTACTGGCTGTTGTGCTTGTTGGTGTTGCTGTTGCTGTTGTTGTGGCTGCTACTGAAGTCGTTGTGGTACTTGTTATTGCTGCTGTTTCTGTAGTGGAAGTAAATTTCTTTTCATCATCCAATATAACAACTGGCACGGCGGTGACCAACTGATAGTTGGGCAGATGACCTGCGGGAAGAGATATGGCAATTGAATATTTAAAAATGTGATTAAATAAATTTTGATTAATCAGGGTATAAGGCTATTGGGAAATTAAACAAAAAACCTCAGGCATAAAAAGTTAAATCAGTGGCAACTCAGTCATATATAAACATCATTGAATACAATTTTTTAACAGCTGGCAACTATTTTAACAGTTTTTTAATTTTTTCATAAAAAACTTTAGTTTGATATGATTATCGTAGGGTTATCTTGTCTGATGCTTTTACAATTCAAAATTTGTACCGGTAGCATCCTTCCAATGCCTTTTTAGCCTTAAGCGCAGACTAACCCTAAACATGATAGATCTCTGTGTCATCTGAAACCAAATCAAATTGTTTGCTCTCTACTATGCTCTTCTAATCCCCAACCCTGGAACAACCTCTAAACCTGACCGGGTTTAATGCTTCTCATTCTCTTTTCCCACTCACCATTTGACGCCATCAGCGATATTGTCGAACCGCCGCAACTTTTCATGGGCGTACCTCCACCACTAATGCCACCATAACCACTGGAGCCCCCAGCAGTCGCCTTTTCGCCATTCGGCATCAGCGAAATATTGTGGCAACTTGCATTTCGACTCTTATCGTAGATGCAGCTGCTCGACGATGATGTGTTCCGTTGCTGTCCTAATGACTGCTGTCCGAGTTTTTGGTAGTAATGCTGCGCGGCGGCAATATTATTACTACTCCCACCATAATTCACCAGCAAAGTGTTGCTTTTGCATTTAGTTGGGCCACTGCCGCCGACGCTTCCGTTCTGATACAGTTGGGTAGTGCTATGATGTTGCTGTTGCTGTTGTTGTTGTTGCTGGTGATGATGTAGCCGCTGCAAAGCAGCATCATTCAACGAAGCAACCGAGAGAGCAGATGGCGTCTGACGGCCACTACTGTTGAGACTATTATAGGTGAGTGTGTAGCTGCCACCGCCGCAGCCGCCGCCTCCAGTGGCAGGGGAATGCGTTTGTGTGGAGGCACCGCTATTGCTCGCACTAAGCACGCTGACGCTAGTAGGGGTGCGTGGTGTGGGCGTATGACTTGCGCTCAAATTTGTACAACTGAGTATCATAACGGGCGAATCATGTAGATCGGGCAGTGAGGAGGAGATGGATGTGCTGCCGGCTATAGTTTTGCTGAATTTGACGGTGCATGTTGGTGGGGTTGCTGTTGGTGTGGCGTTTTGTGTTGTGTAGTGTTGCTGATATGTTGAGTTGTTGTTGGTTGTGTTGCTGCTATTGGTTGCTGTGGTGCCGAATGTGTCGATGGACTTGCGTGACTTGAAGAGACGCATAATTTTGGCTGCCGTCGGGCGCAGAGTGTGATTAAAAGAGAGTGTCACTCAAATGTAGCCTTCGCTTGACTCTCAAGTGGGGGAGGTATGTGGAAACTTTATAAAGCTGGAAAGAAGAAAAGAAGGGACTATTAAAATTTATGTAAAATTATATAAAAATATTTGAAATTGCTTACTAAGTTTAGGCTATAAGACTTAAGTACGTAGGCGTCAAGGATACATTAAGGATTTAAGTTTGCTAAGAATTATTTTTTCAGCTTAAAAAATACTCCAATTGAGCAGCAGAGATTAAGAACGCCGTATAACTTGATATTATGCCTATCGTGAGCAAAACTGAGCAATAAGAATTATCAAAATGAAGGATTGTAATATAGATTAAGTCAAAAGGCGGACTAGAAGCTTCACTTCGTGGTGAACCTTTCGATGTTTCTTCCAACATAAGTTCATTCCAAATTGCTTCCGAACGGCCTATGGATTTTTATAAGGAGCTCTTAATTTCAACTCAGAAGAAGACTAGGAGGGCTTGACATTGCCTGCCGGGGGCAACCACATTTGGAAAACTTAATTTAATTTTATCTTTAATTTTAGATATTACCACTCGAAATCAGTTGATTATTAGCGAAAGAAAAAAAATCGTGTATAAAATAAGGTGTTTTTGAAAATTCGCTAATCAAAGGTGTCAGATCTTCGTTAGAGTCGGAGCCAAAATATAAAATATATATTTTTAATACAATTTTTTGCTACAATTCTTGATATTTGCATGCATTATATAATTTTTTAAATTCTTTTATTAACGTGAGTCCGATAATTCTTTTCCCAAAATTTAAAACGCTCAAACCACAAAACTACATCCGCACGCCTGAGAACCGTTTACTGGCTTTTATGACAGTCTGTTCCCAGCACGTACATAAACACTCTCACCTTTTTGTATTGGACAACAACAAAAGAAAAAAATCATAAAACAACCAAAATAATAAATAACAAAAAAAAAATTGAAAACGAAATTCTCATGAGAGCAAATGTTGCACATGCAACCAACATCAACAGTCCGTTGCAGTCATTGAACGACCTCAAACTGCATTCCCCCCGCCTGTCAACGCTCCTCCGCTCACCACTGCCAGCGAGGTGATTTAAAGCCAAAGCTTTTTTTTTCCTATATTATTAGGTCGATTGTTCTCGGCCATATTGTGTTGGTGGCGGCGGCGGTTCGGTGACTGTGACTGTGACGGCGATAATGGTCAAACCGCCAGCCACAAACCGCATTGAAACGTGCAACCAAATAGACCGGCATGGCAAGCCATGGAATTGTGGTTGGAATTTTGCGCTTTAATTTTCATTCTCAGACTATTTTTGTTTTTGTTTCTATACAATACTTGTTGCATGCCGCAAGCGCCAGCATACCGCTACTGCACAACTACATTCATGCACTTGCAACAACAAGCACGTGCAGCAATTTTTCTTTCTATGCAGTTGCTGCAGCCACACCAGCAACCGTTGCCGCAAGCCGTTGTAAAATAATAAGCGTTTACTTGCCGGCAGCTGCGTGGAATGCCAGCGACTCTTATTATTGCTAGTGGCGGCAGCATTGCAAGCATTCAGCATATGCCACAAATTATATGAGCTCTTGCTGCTGCAGCACTCCACCGTCAACGCTGACTTTTATTATTATTATTATATTTTTATTAGTTTTTATGAATATAAATAGAGAAATGTAAATGAAAAAAGGAAAAGGCAAGAACCAACTACGCCAGGCGAACACCAATCATTATGAATTTATTTCATGCCTCATGCTGCTGCTGCTGCTGCTGCTCTGCATACATTCTCAGATGTACGGATGTATGAAAGCTCGTATGTGAGGTGATTTTTTCACACCTATTTGTGGCTGCTGGCATTCCCTTTCTGTTTTCTGTTTTCTGTTTATTTATTTCTCATATTTATTTTTACATTTACGTGTGTGTGTTTTCTCGTTGCACTATTTGTTTCCTTTTTTCGATTATGTTGTTGCTGAAGTTTTGTTTTATGGCCATGCTAAACTGGCAAGTCCGCATTCTTTCAAAGGTTGCCAACTTCAAAGTGAATTGTCCGTATTTATTGCTGTTGCGGTCTGGTATATTTTGTATGCTTATGCCTGCAGACAACCCAGTAAGAAATTACGGCATACAAAACGTGCGAAAAATTATTACAGCGAACCTTATGGGGCGATAACTACAGTGTTCTATTTCTCAAAATTGTTCGAAAGATAGAGTATGTCGGTTTTCAATCTTAATTTTAATCAAAAATTAAAGAAATGTGAACTTAGTACTAAAATTGATGTTACTGTTGACACAAGAGTAGTTCAATTAGATTTTTTTTGTGTGCCTTACAACTGTTATCAGATGATTTCAACTGTTCTAAGTTTTTATTCTGAAACTACATACATACATATGAGTATATCGACATATTTGGAAACGTTTCCAAACATAAAGTCTTAGTTGTTAATAAGATAGCAAGAGTTTAAGTAACTGATGTTACTAGTATATGTAACTGCTCTAGATTTTTTCTAACTTTGCTCGATTTATCAATCCTATAATCTTCATTGTTTAAGTGCAAAGTCCCCAGTAGTAAATGACACGAACATAGCAAATTAAAGGCTGCAAGTACCCATTTCACTTACCAGCCGTCCATAGCTGGCGACGTCAAGGCGAAATACATACACGAGTCATTAACGCTGCTGAGAGCGGCGAAATATTGCCAGCTGCCAGTGTGTGCACTTACACACTTTTGAACAAATTCATTATTTTCGCCAACGAATTTCATAATTTATATGCTTGAATATAAACGCAAGGCAAATATACATGATCTATATGGTAACAAATAATTAGTTACGCATTTATCTGGTTTTCATTTCTTTTGAAAATAAACTACGCATTTTATTCGATTATTTAATATTACTTTAAGAAAGGCAATACAGGCAACCTTGTATAGCAACGAGAAATGAGCCAAGCTGGTTTTACGGAAAAAATCAAATCGCCGTTGGTTTCTGCGGGATAACCATCACAAACGACATGGGCAAGCGGTGACAACTTTGTGTTTACATGGCGCTCTTATAAGATAGGTTGCTATGGACGGGTGGTACGTGAGTTGGGTAGTTGCAGCATAAGTGATCAAACTATAGTTATTTCGTATTATATGATATGAGAAAACTGTTCCAATTTTGAAAACAAGCCGTACAGAGCATAAAATGCTTACAAATTCGTGACTTGTGGTTTTGCCTTCACTTCACATACGCTCTGTCTCCATCATTTTTTCTCTCAACCTATTATTTAATTCCTAGTTTGGAAAATTGCAGAAATTTTTTTACCTTCTGATTTTTGCACTTTTGCTTGCGATTCTTGCTAATTTTGTTTTTCCCCAGTATACTTGTACACATCTATGTGCGTGCGTATGCTGTCGAACATTTATACGCAAAATGCGTTGCGCTCGTTTTCCTCTTCGACAACACCGCCACGCAGCGCACGAAATTCGTCAGCAATGTGGGCGTACGTTGCAATAGGTAATTTTGTTGTTATTCTTGCAACAAAATCAGTTAAATACTTCCACTTTGGCCGGCTTAAACGCAACAAATGTGGAATTTACAACATTCTTTGCTTCTCTTCACTTCATTATACACAAATTTTTTTTTTTTATTTTTTATTTTTTATACGCATTTTTATTTCATTTATTTCTTATTTTTTAGAAAGAATTTTCTCTTTTTTTGGTCTGCTGCATTTTGTCTGGGTTATGTGTGGAATTTTGTTTTGGGGACAACGAAACTGCGTTGCCTTCTGAGGTCGCTTGGCTTTACGGCTTTGTTGTTATGGTTGCTTTCATGCTGCTGCAGTTTGTTTTGTTGTTAAGCTATGTTGCGTCATGCCTTTGGCATGCCATATGCGCTCATTCACTTTATCTAGGCGGTTTGTGGTGTTTGCATGCGCTGGTGTATGTGTGTGGCGGGAACGCATGTAGATGGCAGCTATGCTTGGTGTTGGAAATTGAAAGTGCAGGTAGCTGGGTGTTTTGCTTATTTATGAAGACTTCCAGAATCTGTTTTTTTTCTTGTCATCCAAAATCAATTTATGATTTTATTTATAATAAATTTACTATATCCGATTTGAAAGCAATTTAAACAATCTTAAACTTCTTCACATCAAATTCGCTATTGAGCTATTCAAGAGTAAATACAGGAGTGTGCGTTTGTGTTAATGTTGTCAATTGTTCAAATTTTATATTTTATCCCTTTTTGGCTACAATTAAAAAAAAAGATTTCTGCTTATCAAGCTTTCTAAAAAAAAAAAACTGTTCCCACTTCCACAAAAACCGAAGTGAATTAATTGATTATATATTTGGAATTTTTTATTTAATTTCACTTTGTAATTTATTTTTCTATATTGCAAATGTTTTAATTTCAAGCTTCAAGCTTCAGTACATACATACCTTCATAGTGTTTCAAAAGATTTGCAAATGAATGAAAGATGTCTATCATAAATAAGAGAATTTAAGTATGTTGTTATCTACTCTGAGCTAAAAGATGTATCTGTTATATATACATAGTTTTTAAAACCCCTTGCCTATTTAAAGATTAAGTAATTGATTCAAAAACTTCTAAGCTAGTTTGAACATTTCCTCAACTTAAATTTTGATAGTTTTATTAGGAATAGCTTATTCCATCTAAATGTGCCGCAAATTGTCATAAAGAAATTCGCTAACACTTTTCAAAAACTGTTCCCACTTAAGTATGTAAAACTATTCCCATTCGATTTCTTACAATTTTTCGCTTCCAATAAACGTATTTTCTTACTTCTGATCAATAAAAAATTAACCATCAACTTCATTCCTTACTATACAGCCCCAAAGAACTTCTAAAATATGTCATTTTATTGCAAACCAGTAGCAGCAAGCAAGCTAAAAATAAATTTTCAGTCATTTATTTTTTCATAATTAAATATGTAACAATTTGCATTTTAGACGCCACATGACACATTCTATGCCAGCTACCCATACAACTTTTGCCTTCCCTCTTCTGTTAAATATATCTGTCGGTGAGTATAAGTGTGTGTGTATGTGTGTGTGTTTGTTATCATATGAAGT